CCTTTTTCTGCTTCCTGCAACAGATGGGGCTCTTCAGAAGTTCAAGGGCAGGTTGCCAGGCCTCCTAGTGCAGGCCCCACAGATCACATTATCGACTATGCCTTTGTGTTTCTGAGCAGGTGACAGCTTCCATACCTTTCCTTTTCCAGGCACTGGTTCACAATGGACATCAGTCCTGTGAGAGAGTCCCAAGAGCCTGAAATACTCTGGGGCAGCAATGGGGTCTCCTGGGGGTGGTTTGGGGTGGACTACAGGAAGAATCTCCTAGTTAAAGCCAGACAGCCCCTGGACTCTTGAGGCTGACAAGTCCAAGCCCTCAGCATGGCCCCATTCTGGCCAGCAGTGTCTGAGCTAGCTCAGGAGATGAGGGGGTACTGGGCAGGGAGCCCACTGTCTCCTCCTCATGACTTCCCTTCCTCCTCATCCCAGGAGCCTCCTTGCCAGCCAACTGTACTAAAACTCCGGAAAACCATGGCGGGGAGGTTTTCCAATTAGAACATTCTTTTTCCGATCTGTGGATGATTCTTAAAGCAGCAAAAAGCCATTCTTCATGGCATGTGGGGATTATCTGCCAGCAAGGCCTTGGCTCAGCTTGTGCACTCGTGCTCTGGAGGCCTGGCCTGGGGCAGCTTCAGAGCCAGAGAGAAAAGGCAGAGTCTGTTTTGGAGCATCAGGTCATGCAGACAGAGGCTGCTTGTAGAAATGTGTCCTGCTTATTCAAAACAGTGTATTTCCAAGCACAGGGCTGGAAGACTTTTCAAAGTGACCTATGTCAGGAGGTGCATGACCTCCTAGTCCCCTTACTGGAAAATAAGCTCACATCTCCCAGCAGGGTTGTAGCATGTAGAGCAAACAATCCCTGGGCATGGAAGTTGGTCTTCAGAAAGGACTTCACAATCCCTGGGCATGGAAGTTGGTCTTCAGAAAGGACTTCTCTGTCTCTGCCACCACCCTGGGAGCTACTTTTTCCTAAGCAAGATAGAGATGGCAGCGTAGTGGGAGCTCTTGACAAGTAAGAGTGTTTCTGCTTGATGGAGAAGAGGCACAACCTCAGAGTGGATAGAGCAAACTGCTAGAGTTGTAGGGGTCCCTGAAGGGAATATTTCATAGGTGAAGAACTCACCCCAAATGCTCAGAGTGGATAGAGCAAACTGCTAGAGTTGTAGGGGTCCCTGAAGGGAATATTTCATAGGTGAAGAACTCACCCCAAATGCTCAGAGTGGATAGAGCAAACTGCTAGAGTTGTAGGGGACCCTGAAGGGAATATTTCATAGGTGAAGAACTCACCCCAAATGCTCAGAGTGGATAGAGCAAACTGCTAGAGTTGTAGGGGTCCCTGAAGGGAATATTTCATAGGTGAAGAACTCACCCCAAATGCTCAGAGTGGATAGAGCAAACTGCTAGATTTGTAGGGGTCCCTGAAGGGAATATTTCATAGGTGAAGAACTCACCCCAAATGCTCAGAGTGGATAGAGCAAACTGCTAGAGTTGTAGGGGACCCTGAAGGGAATATTTCATAGGTGAAGAACTCACCCCAAATGCTCAGAGTGGATAGAGCAAACTGCTAGAGTTGTAGGGGTCCCTGAAGGGAATATTTCATAGGTGAAGAACTCACCCCAAATGCTCAGAGTGGATAGAGCAAACTGCTAGAGTTGTAGGGGTCCCTGAAGGGAATATTTCATAGGTGAAGAACTCACCCCAAATGCTCAGAGTTTGGGCCAGCAAGTGAGCTGATTACAAACAGAGCCTTAGTGTCACAAGCTCAGGGCTCTATTGGTCTGTTCCTGGGTGTAGCTATGCCTGGCTTGGGGACCCCTATCCCCAGGGGACTCACTCTGCTAAGAGTCAGCAGAGTCACCCAGCAAGTATAAACTGGTTGAAGAGTTTAGCAGGATGAGGCAGCAGGGCAGGGCAGGACCTGGGAAGGAGGGAGGGGAAAGGGGGTTTAGGGTACAAGCAGGGACGTGGCACTCCCTATACACAAACTCCAGCTTCTACCAGTTAAACACATAGTCTATCCAGAGCCTCTGGAGCTCAACTCTGCACCAAACTAGCTGTGTGATCTTAAGGTCCCTCTCCCTGATTCCATTTCTCCATATGTACAGCTGCAAAATTCAGGCCATTTGTCTCCAGTGTACTCTAGCATAAGAATCCTGCCTGGGCCACCTCTGGGTCCTGATAGCTTGTAGGGTACCACCTGTTGTTCCTTTCTAAGCCTGGGAACTCTTTAGTTAGATAGGCCAGCCTGGGTTCTGCTTCCAGCTTTGCATATGGGAAGGGGACACCCATGGAGCTATTAATCCTGCTGGCTCATTCTCTCAGATAGCCATCTGTCCTCTGGCCCATCTGTTGACTTCAGTGGGGCCTTTCAGAGAAGCTGTTTTGGCTACCTCCTCTGAACAGAGATACTACCTACTACCCCTTTCCTTTCCTGGTAGTCCAACCTTCTCTTAGAGCCTTTTACATTTAGAACCAGCACCTGTGCTTTCATGGCAATGCCTTGTTGATGGCATTCCTGGGAGCTACTACCCAGTCCCCTTGGGCACTGATACCCAAGCTGGAAGGATCCCAGAACTAGAAAAAAAGGATGGAGGGGGGATTGCAACTGTGAAAGGGGGAGACTTTTTGGCTAGTCTTGGAGCTCAGGTACAGTAGTGGAAAGGAGAGCCACAAAAACCTTGGTCCAGAACTTGAGGAGAGTCTAAGGAAAGGTTCATGAAGACAACTTGACAGCTGAGAACGGGTAAAAGATTACCTGATGACCCCACACAAGACATGTCATCCCAAATAAAGGTACTTGGGATATGACAGCACTTGGTTTATCTGAATGTATGTTACTTGTATGTATCTATATCCTAACATTTGGGACGTCGAGTCCAGGATTGCTGTGAGTCTGAGGCCAGTATGGGCTACATAACATCCCTCCTCCCCAAATGCTGACTGGTTCAGGTGACTGGAAGTAACCCTGGAATAGTGTGGGAGTGGAGAGCATCATTGGAAGATTCTGTTGAGGCAGTGAACTAGTGGGCAGGGCAGGGCAGGGCACCTACCATTCGAGTCAAACTCGTTTGTAGGCAAGATCCGCTGCAGGGCCTGGCAACCTAGCAGGGAGGGAGGAGTCCAAGGCTGGTCTCTTTGGCTTGAGTTGTCATAAGGGATCTGTCCTGGGCAGGGGCTGAGTCACTTGGGACACCATTCTTGCTCATGCTCTCAGATGGCCCATCCTGATTCAAGGTTCTGAGGTAGAGCTTTCTATTTTCTGGAGGGCCTTGGGGACAAGTACCACCACCTTACTCATCCTTACCCATGATAACTTTGTTTTACATTCTGCCTCTTTTTTATTAGGCTAGGTTCAAACAAGGTGTGTGATCCACCCTAGGTCATATAGTTAGTATGTTTAGGAGCTAGGATGCCAAGCCAAATGCAAGACCATCAGTAGCATCCTTGGGAAAAGGCAAAGAAGCATTAGATGTTGGTCATTAGCCTGGGGCCAACCAAATTGAAATGAGAAAAACACCTGTTGGCAGGAGACAACAATTAACCACTCCCCCAGAACACACAGGGCACTTCCTTTCTGTTTGATAAACCCCACAAAGAGAAGAACCCTTCTCCTGAGTTACAATCTCCTATCTCTTCCTTTTACAAATGGCCCAGATCTCGTGGGCTGGTCTCTGTGACCCAGCGATAATCAGCCAGGGTGCCAATTTCACCACTAAGAATGAAGGGAACAAGGGAAGTGAGTGCTCAGAAGGAAATGGTCAACCTGATCACTTGGGAAGATTTAGGAATGGTTGGATGAAGTCTGAATTCACTAGGGTACTTCGGGAGTGTGAATGCAGGAACAAATGTGTCAGGTGTAAGGACACATGATGTACTTACTCTGGAGAAAGGCAGGGTGAGTACAGTGGAGTGGCTCATCTTACAGAAAGAGGTTGACCACAGTGAATCATTAGGTCCTCTAAAGATATATGTTGTTGATCCAAAGAGCAACAGGAAGCTATAGGAGAGAGCTCTAAAGCAGCATCTGGTCATATTCATGCAATGGAACTGCTTAACCAGACTTCTGTGTGATAGCTGGCTGGGAAGGAAGTATAAGTTGCAGGCAGGGATATGAGTGGGCAGATTTGAAGGCCACTGCAGTGGCTATAAAATTAGCAAGACTTGAAAAGTAGGATCTATTGACCTTTTTTTCTTTTTCTTTTTCCTTTTCGAGCCTGTCAACCTGATACAGGGCTATTGCTTGAGCTGGCTTAACTATCTTCCCTGACCTCACAGATATGGTTAAGAGCCTTTGTCCAATATTGTCTCAAATTCAACACCCCTACATCCTCCCACCCGGTGCCTTGCTACAGCATGAACGAATGTCACTTATTAAACTGAATGTGTGTCTCTGGCCTGGCCTGAGTGGTGGTCCTGATTTCTGCATCTTGCCCCGCTCCCTCAAAAAAAATGGCCTTCCAGGGTGCAAGTTTTCCCAGGTGCCAGACAGAAGTTTCTTGCTCACTGTTTTCTTCTGCCTGACTTCCTGCATGATCTCAGCCACCAGTCGCCACCCCCAACCCCAGTTCTTTCCCCGCCCCTGTCTGGGATCTCCATCTGTAAAATGGATCTAGGCACAGTAGTTCTCCACAGAATGGATCCGCCAGTATCTGTAGAAGTCATTGGCCCAGAGCCTGGGCCAGGCAGGGACGCCACTAGGCAGCGGGGGCTCTTCACGTGGTGGAGGCCTCCTGGCCCCAGGGCCCTGTGCCCAGAGGAATTAGCCTGGAAGTTTTCCATGGCGGCAAACTTTCTGGAGCTCTCTCCGAGCCAGGCAAGTAAAGCACCAGCCTTGATTTCTCCAGCAGCTCCATGGGGTGGAGCAGGGAAGGAGTGGGAGGACCGAGGACACTGGCGGGAGAATTTGTGGAATGTGCCAGGCACATCTACCTACCCCAGGAGAGGGCAGAGGAAGGGGGCCGGCCGAGGGGAGGGGCTAGGGGCGAGGCTCCCTGCAGCCGGAGAAAACCTGTTTGTTCTCCAGCGGGTGGAGCCCAGTCTGTGCCTCCTTGTTCCCTGCACTCTCCCCGCTGTACCCCGTGCCCCGCGCCTGCCCGCTGACGCGGCCCAGTAGGGTCCAGCGCTGCCCATCCGAGGGAGCTCGCGCACCACGCCCGCCCGACCCTCCACCCATCCCACAAGCCGGGCACCTGTACCAGGTAGGGTTGTCCGAAGGACGCGGTCAACCGGGAGGCAGCAAGGGGTACCCCGTTTGTATCCTTTTGCACACAAGCCATGGTCTCAGTCTCTCTACCCATAATTCATACTCCCTCCAAGCATCCCTTCTGGGGCTCCTGTCAGGGAGGCAGTACCCTCGGTTTTCTGCATTTTACTGTTGAGTGAAGAAACTGAGAGGCAGGGTACTTCAGTATGACTTCAGTGACCCTCTGGCTGGCCTTGTCCCTGTGTCCTAATCATTTGAAGATAAGACATATTGTTAGTAGACCGCCAGCTGGGTGAGGGCAGGGTGAGCCCAGATTTGGTGTTTTTCAAAGATCACAGACTCTCATATCCTCAGTAAAATGTGCCCATTTTGTAGATAAAGAAACTGAGATTCAGGGGCAAGCATACTCCAAGACACCCCTCACTGGCCTGGAGCCTAGGGCAAAGGGACTTGATGGTGGTTTGTGATACACATGTGCTGTGCTCTGGGCGATCTCAGGGCTCAGAAGGGAGCTACTCATACTCAGACAGAAGGCGCCGAATCAAGTGTCACTGTGGTGTTATCAGCAGGATCTGCCATGCACAGGCTCTGTGACTGGATTGTTTGTGCGGGGGCAGGGGGAGCCAAGAGGCTCATCCTCTTTGGAACTGCATACTGATACATGGCCTCTGAGAAAGGCTGAAAACTCAGACCTCCTGTGTACTCTGTCACTTCCTTCTAAGCTGTGGCACCTGGCAGCTCCAGCTGTTCAAAGGGAGAAAAACCTTCCAGGGCTATGGAATCTCTAAAGTTTGTTGAGTTGTGTTCTCCATGAGCCATTTGTACTGAGTCTTGATTTTAAGGCAGGTGGTGACACCTGTCCTTGGTCTTGCCTTGGTCTTGTGGCTCTTTGGGTTTCTGGTCATGGTGTCTGGACTGGGATAGGAAGCTGGTTTCCACACGCTCATAACTTTGAATAGTGGTGAGGGGCTCTGAATCCCAGAGCTGCAGTGGGAGGCTTAGGAGGTCATCTTCCCATAGCCTCAACTGGCTCTCATCTGAACAAACAGTGCCAGCTTGGATGCCAACAAGTCTCCAGGGCACAGGTGCACTCACCAGGTACAACTTGATGAAGGACTTTGGTGTGTGTGATTCACCTCAGCACCCTCAGCCCACTCACTACAGGCCTGGGAGGAACAACACCATCTTACCTGTCCTGCTCCCATCAATTCTCAGCCATGGATGGGGATCTGTGCTTAGTGAGGCGGAACTGATAGATACCAGGCTGGGAACACAGCAGGTGCTCAAAATCTGTTCCGTTTTATCCTTTGGACACCCGTGAGTCAGTGACAAAGGTGGCTCATGACTACAGAGGGTGTTGCAGCTTTGAGAGTCATAAAAGCCTTGGTGGCTCCCTAAACCTGGATCAGGAATGCAACCCTAGCTGGAAAGATTAGGTAGGCTTTCTGGAGGAGGGGGCCTTTGAGTGAGAGGTCAGCAGCCTCCAGGTCAAGAGGAGTAGGAGAGAAATCAGCCTGACATTTTACAAAGATCTAAAGTGATGGGCCACTCCAGAAGGAGCTGCCATCTGAATCATAATAGGAGCAATTGTGAGAATCTGGGAGGAAACCCTCCCAACTTGAGGGTAGTGGTCCCAGGAGCAGCTAGAATCTAGCATATTCCCTCCTCAAACTGCTTAGGGCTGCCAGGAGCCTTTAATATCTTCTAAGACCTTCTAGGACAGGGCCTCTGGTTTCCTAGCACTCAGGATCTGGTGGAGGTGGGCATTGGCACCTGTTTGTGAACTGTCTTCAGTTGTATGTCAAGAAAACACCCCCAATTATAACTTGATGAACTCTGAAAGCCAGAAGCCCGCCTCCTCCCCTCCTTTCTCACTGAAGCCTCCATATGTGACTGATCCCTTTAGTTTGGACATCGTTCCAAGCCATGTCCTATATTGTGTCAGGTCACACGTAACACAAATTTACTTTCTGCTTGCTGAGCCCTGAGGTCACTTTCATTGCCAGCCTTGTGGTGACATGGGACAGGATCATTGCCAGGAAAGAAGAAAGCTGCTTTCTAGGGCTCTGGTGCTCAAAGAAACTTCTCATGTTGTACTCCAGACTTTGGGCACCCAAGGTTGGGAATGGACATGGGTGCCTACAATTTGTCTGGCTCGTTTATCCCAACCTAGGTCCTACCTCTTGCTCCCATGACCTTAGAGAAGGAAACCATCATCCTCAGTTCAAACCTCTCCTTATAACAACCTGTTTAAATAAGGTGGGAAATCAAGGTCATAAGGTGGCATGCCCAGGTTTGTGAACTGGATTCTGAACTCGGTGTGGCCTCTGGGCCTTTTTCTTACCCATGAAGCTGTAAAGATACTGCCCTCACTGACAGCACACCCTGCTAGGGGCAATATGCTGGATCCCCCTGATCTGCTGCAGTCCCCTTAGCTCACTGCCCTGGTCCTAGTATGAGCTGGTTCTCCATGGACATAGCTGGGGCCAGTTCATATTTCCCAGAGGGAAACTGAGACACAGAATGGAGCCTCTTTACCTTCTGTGCATCCACGTGGAAGCATTTGGCAGGTCTTTTCAGTTCACTTTCCCTGCTAGGATGGCCAAAGTTAGAGGGCGGGGACAGAGAAGAGGGAGGGGGTCTGGATGGAAAAGAGGCTGGAAAACTCAAGGCCAACAGGTCCTGTGCATGTCATTACCAGGGCTGGTATGCAGACTCAGACTGAGAGGTAGGGAGGCTGGAAAGAATCACAGCTCAAGCAAATATCAATAGGGAATTTGTCTTCTGGAGAAACCTAGAGAATGCTCTTTGAAACACAGCCTCGCATTCTTATGGATAGTGCCTTCTTCTGGTATTGAGGAAAAGCTAGGGACTTGGGGAGTAGATAGAATATAAGATGGACATTGTTTACTTATCTGGTAATGCCTGCTTTGTAGCACCTCTTCTTGCACAGTTGCCCTTGACATTCGTTACTGCTGGTGGCCTGGGGAGGCTGTGGAACTCTAGAGACACACCCTGAATTCAGAGAAGACTTGGCCTCTGGGGCTGGTGGTGGGCAAGCCCATGCTATTTGTGGTACCTGTTGGTAGTCCCTGTCTTTGGATATTATCTGTGGGCACATCTCAGGCATGAGGTTCAGCCCCCTTGGGCTAATCCCTTGGGCTGATGGTTGGCTCAGAACACCACTTTCTGATGACTAAGTCACTTTTCCAGAGAGCTTGATGTAGCAGAGGGTTGCAATGGAGAGAAAAGGCACCAGGATTCCAGTCACAAGAATGGGGATCCCTGTTGAAATGATGACATCAGGCACTGCCTAGTTTAGCTTAGAAAGAAAGAAACAAGGAAAGGAAGGAAGGAAGGAAGGAAGGACACCAACCCAACAAGCAGACCTTACTTCACTATTTGTGCCCATTCACATACTCATCTCCTGCTCATTCTTTTATAGTTTGGGACCTGATCCAAGGGTGCCTCCTTGGAAAATGTAGCACTCTGGCAGGGCCCACAGGGCCTGTCTCTCTTCCTCTGACTCTTGTCTATCTCCCAAGTACCCAACCTGATGAGTAGCTTTACATAGGTGCTTGTTGCAGAAAATAAAATGTGACCTTGGGTAAATGCATTCTCATCTCTTGGTTTCCATGTTCTTATCCCCAGATGGAGTGAAAGGGACTTTTGAGTTAAAGCTGGACAGGAACATATAAGAGAGGGTTTAGAGGGCCTGAATGAAGGTAAGACTATGGAGAGAGACATTTTTGGGTTCCAGAGGGCTGCTGGGTAGTTCTCTTTTTCATCCTCACTACAGGATGCAAGAAGGACAAAAGCCAAAGTCAGGAGCAAGTGAGGATGAGCTCTTGTTTCCTTGTGCTCTGGCAAAGGTTGAACAGGTGGCAGCTATAAGGACTTGAGATACTCATGAAGTACCAGTGGAGAAAAATGTGGGGGTGGTGGTATGTTCCAGAGTCCCCAGCCCATTTTGACCCTGAGACGTGCCCATCTCAAGATGGAGATAGCATATCTGAGTGAGTAGGGCTAGCTTGAGACCTTAGATCTCAAGTTGCAGACACAACTATTGGAGCATGAAGATGTGAACGTGCATAGATAAATGAGACTGGGAATTTCTCAGGCTCTGTCTTGTGACATAGCTGCAGAGGTTAACAATGGTAACAATGCAAATAGCTCAGACAGACAATTAGAGCAGGGGTCTTGTTGGGAGCAAGAGGTCCTATGGTCCCTGCTATCCTCAGCAGGCTGGCCTCACCCAGGTATCTCAGAGGAATCTCTGAGAGGTCTTCGTAGTGTCCCTCAGTAGTCCTGTAGGTCAAGGCACCCCTGAAGTGACCCAGTTTCTCCAAGCAGTTGTTTGACTCCATCCCTCTTAGGCATTATGCTGGCAAGCATTACTCTTTCACCTGGCATAATGCACTCAGGCAGTACCCTGGTCAGCCCAGGTGCAAAGGAACCCTTTAAAAGAAAGACCTCCCCCCCACATACGCTCTCTTTCTCTTTCCTGCTGTTCCCCTGGGGCAGACAGAACTTTTCCTGTCTCCCTCTTCTCTTCTGTCCCCCCCCTCTCTCCCTTTCTCTCTCTGTGTGGGAGTGTGGCTTTACCTCTTTTCTCTTTCCTCCCCCTTTCCTTCTCCTTTCTAATAAAAATTCCCCCTTAAGCTCTGTCTGCCTGGCATGTTTGTTCCTCTGCCTTGGTCACCCTTGCCTGCCATGGAATTCATGCAAGGTCCCCACACGCTTTATCATAACGCCTCTGAGAGCCTGAAAATGGGTACAGGAGAGCCTGGAAATTCTAGGGTCTTGGGAATGGCAGATAGCTAACAGTACCCCTTCTTTGGGATTTTAGCTGCCTATGATGCTGGGAAGGACTTGGCCTGGTTTAGACATCTTCCTCCCAGGATTCCTCTAGCACAGACGCCAAGAAGTCTAGAATCTAGCTAGGGTTTTGGGATGGGATGGCGGGAGGTGAAATTCCAGACTTTCATGCAGAAG